TCAATGGGCTTGCTTTGTCTTTTAACAGGTCAGAACTTTCCACAACATTAACATGCAAGCAGCGCGGCGCAGTTGCCGCAGGAAAGAACAAAAAGTAAAGCCACAAAAGTCCAAACTTGGGAGTTCACACCATCATGTGCGAAACGCCCGCAACTCTTGTGATGCTGCAGCTCAGTGAGGATCGCGATGAGGTCTTTTTCTTGTTTTTGGGGGGGGGGGGGGGGGGACTAGTTTGATTTGCTGTGATACGTCTCCAAGTAGGCTTGGCTCTATTTTTGTCCCAATTGTGCTCAATGGGCTTTGCATTCAAACTCGTTACTTTTTCCAACAAGGATGTTAAAATGTAAAAAACATATCGATGCGGCGTCAGGCGGAATCATTTTACCTCCAAAATCATCACTTTTCAGGAGACCCGCCAAAGCGGCATGTTTGTTCAAACGAATAGCATCACAGTCTTAAAGAGCGCAAGCCATTTTGAACACTTTCCGGTAGTAAAGTAAAAATATGTGAGAATAACAAAAACACGTGGACTGGCTCATAGCATATATTTGTGAACAAATATGAAATTTACCAAATATTATTCTATGCACAATGTTTTTAATATTGCCATTACTTTTGATCGGGGATTTTTTCTTGTTGTTGTTCTAATGAGAGCAACTTGGATATCACTCAGCCTGTCAGAACTGACTATGTTTCATTTTGGAGCTTCCACTGATGAGACAGAAAGCAGAAAGGAAAAAAATAAAAAGTTGCCTCTGTATGAAAACTGAATGCGGTCAACTGTATTTTGGGTCCCAAATGGAAACGAGCCCAGAAATGATGCAAGCGTGGCAGCAGCCACCTCATTACTGAGAATCATTGCTGCAATTAATGACAACAAACTGAAGATGTGATGGTGTTTGGGGCTGATTGATGGGAACGTACAGTTCAGTCATCAGAGGTTAGCGCATTTGAGGCATTTTTTTGACGACCAAAATGGCCTCTATCTGCAGCTGAAACGCATCTCAGGGGAAAATTAAGGCTCACAAACAACCTTCCACAATCATATTTATGCCTCGACAATTTAGAGTCTTCAAGAACCGAATGTGCAAGGCTAGAGCCTAGATTTGAATCCCAAATCTTAGGTACTAACCACTAGTCCACTATGCCGCCCTTGTTGATGCTAACCGTGAAAAAAAAAAAAAAAAACTTTCCTTTGCTCTGAGTCAGGATGCTGGGTCACATCGCAAACTGTCCACCACCGTGTGTGTGTGTGTGTGTGTGTGTGTGTGTGTGTGTGTGTGTGTGTGTGTGTGTGTGTGTGTGTGTGCGTGTGCGCGCTGACGTGACACTTTCCAGATACCCACAGAGACTGGACAGGAATGTGGAAATCAGAGATGGCAGACTCCTCTTCATAGACATAAAATCATTACAAAGCGCGTGTGCGTATGTGTGTGTGTGTTATCTCAAAGCGAACTCTGTAACATCTGACACCGCGTTCACGCCTCCGCACTGTCAAAGGCAGCTGGAAAACTTATTTCATCACCCAGGCATTATACGAACGTCAGCCGAGAAGCACTCACTTCTTATTTAATTTCTTGTCCTAAAATCTGGACCCGATTTGGACAACCTTCACCTCAAGCGTGTTCACAACATGGTAAATGTTCCCGTCCAGGATGAAAAGTGCGGATTTTACGATGAGTGTCTGGCTCCAAGTACAAATGGCGTGCTTGCGTTCGATTACATAGCTCTTAAACGTGACAGGTGAGAGAATCTTCACAAAGCAAACACAAACTGACCGATACAAAAATGTATGTATAATGTCTGTATTAATGTGTTTAATAAAAGTGTTTACATTTTTAATGTGCTGTGAGTAACAATAAGCTTTAACGTAATTAAATAAAAAATAAAATAAGAACATGACATTATGATGAACAATTAGTCACTGGGTGAGTCAACCAGATGCACAAAGAGACACTCAATTAGATTAAAAAAAAACGGACTGCGGCAGCTATTAACTCGGGACATCACCGCAATTTTTCACACACAGACATTAAAATGTCAAGACCATTCGAATGGCGCTGCTAACCAAAGAAGTAGCAATTACCCATGCCATTTATTAACAACCTCAACACTTGAGACTTGCAAACAAATTCACTTGACATTTGCTCTTTGCAAAGAATTTTTTTAAATTCCATTTTAGGTTGGGGGAATCTGTCTGTACATGTTCTGAGCTCCTGTTGGCATACCAGTGTCACATTAAAACACAAAATTCTACAGCTTTTTTAGGAACCTATCCCAGCAGGGGTACAACCTTAACTCTTACAACAACAGAGTTAAAAATGACGCAAATTGGGTGAAATGGCTAACCCAGTGTTGGGTCCAAAAGGGACCAAGCTAATGCAGTATGATATAAACCCAGCACATTGGGGTGAGAGTTTGACCCAGCACGTTGGGTCAAGATTTTAATCCAACAAGGAGTGAAAACTGCTCATACTAACGCGAAGCACCCATTCAATTTCATCAAGGCTCCAGAGCTGCAGTGGCCTGGAAACGGTATATCGTGGAAACGGACCCAACTGGATGCCCTTTGCCTTGACCTAGCTTTGAACCCTGACCCTGTGTCCAAAGTCATCCAGCCACAATGTTTTTGCAAAAATCAAATTGACTTCAACTTTAGAACACAACAAAACTGTCTATAATGTCAACCAGCTTCAGATCAATAGCCCGCCCAAATTAAATCAAGTGAGTGGATGAGGAAACAAAAATAGCACATTTTTTTGCATGTGTGGACTGTTGGCTAGTCAATCACAGGGCACATATTGACAAAAAACAAAAAACAAAACAATCACACTCACAATGGACCAAATTTTGCATGTTTTGGGGATGTGGAAGGAAGTCGGAATACATGTGTGACGAAATGGTGGCAACATGTGACCACACAAGGAAATGCCCTGCGGCTGAAAATTTGGTCGGATGAAAGCGAGGCATGAAGTCTCAAGCAACCAAGTACTGCATTTATGATTTGAAAGCCATGATGTTCTCCCCTGTGTTCACCACAAAAAAAGATGTTGGTGTGAGGAAGAAGAAAGAAGAGGAGAGTGTGCGGGGATTCCGTTCAAAGGCCATGTTGCTGTGAGACTCTCGGGCGATTCAGTTCACTTGGGCGTTCGTGAACGGAGGCGCCACACAAAGGAGCGCCTCCAAATTAGGAGCACAAAGACGCCACTGTGGGAGCCTCCCAGTGAATTAATGAGCACTGATACATATTCTCACAAACGCCTCATAAGATGGGGTAGTGCTGGGGGGTAAATGGGGGTCACGGGATTGCACGCTTGCGGCCATTTTGTGGTAAAATAGCCCGAAACTGAGACGATTTGTCGTTGCTGTTGTTTACCTCTACAATTTGAATAAAAACATATATTATTGTAGCCTAATTTATGAAAACATTAAAACATTAATGTCGAACATTAAATTCCTCCGCTCGTACTGATATTCCTGGTGTATGCACGTTAACCACAAGGGGGCAGCAAAATGCTGACATTCAGAGATACCGGGAGCCAATCAAAACTCCTCAGTAAATCGCAGTAAAATTTGTCAATCTTCACAGAGGAAAAAGAATGTATACCAGTGAGTATTGTTATATTATCTATCTACATGTGTCGCTCCACCATTGGTGTTGAAATTTTAACATTGCTACACTGATGCAATTGGTGTTTCTGTCTATTGGATTTTGTGCAAAGTTACGTGGTCATTTAAGAGCAGAATGTGTCATTCTTTTGTAATTATCTTGGTAACTACTTTTTATACTTGAAAGACAGCAAAGAAAACGTTTTATGACCGCATCAGTTTTTCTATGGACCAGATTTCTATTAATTTCTGGGAACATTTGCTTGGATTTCTAAAGACTGAATTCCAATTTAATTTTTTAAGATTTTGTAAAGATCAGATTGGCAGGATTACACAACATCAACTCCTCAACTGGTTTGCATTAAACTCTGCTTCGGGGTGGGGCCATGCAAGGAGATTTTACTCCATTTGGTGTTGATTCGGTTCTTGGATTATATTCCATTTAATGATTTATTTTCATTGGGTTTTGTTAGTCTATATCGGTTGTAATTAAATTGGGATTAAAAAAATAATTTTCAGACAGTTACCAAGAAATGCATATTAAGAGTATTAGACATATGTTTGTATCATAACAAAATTAAAAAGAGGGTTTGTCCAGGGGTTTTCCACTTTTATTAACATTACAAAAAGATTTTTGAAACATTACAATTTAGATAGATAGATATATCGATAGATAGATAGATAGATAGAAATGATAAATATTGGATGTAGAGCATTATGCCGATGCATTATGCCAGTATTATTCCACACTATGAAAATATTAATCACATCGGACGGTTGGCCCAGGATTTTCCAACTTACATTAAGCATTTAAAAATGTACATATCCCCATTATTGTTCCGAGTACGTGATACATAAATATTGAGTGCACAACATCGTGCTGATGCGAGTGTGTTTGGGTGTTAGTGTGTCGGTGTATGTTAATAAAATTAAAAACATGTGACAGAGTTACATCAGTTAGTGCAGACATGACTTCACTATGATTGTCAGATTTACTTTCACCCACTTGACTATAACAATGCCTCTAGAAAACAATCAAGCACTGAGTGATTGAATCACACTGCTAATCAATCACTAATCGGCAAAAGCTTGCATCCAGTCTGTGATAGTAAACAGGGAAAGCCAAACGAGCAGTAAGAGTTGAATAGAGTGGGTGAGCGCACACACAGCCACAATCCTGCAACACTTAATCTCTCTAATCCCTTTCCTCGACTCAATCCCACTCTGGACACAGCGCATACTCCAAAACACAACGCCAATACATTTTTGGGCAGTTGATTCGAAGTTGGAACAGACTATTACGCACGAGAAAAAGTTTGCAGAGTCAAACAAGCAGGCTGCCCGTTGTTTCTTGTGGATAATAAATGAACAAAAAACACAACTGGGCTCACCCATGTTTGAAGATCTTCCGTGTGAGTCCGAGGGTGTAACAGTCAGATGCAAGTTGTCGAGCTGTTTCGTGAGCCCCGCTACTCGCGAGTCCAGAGATGCGCACGAACTGGACGCTCTCAAACACTTTGGAGACAGCCCTGGTGACGTCAGCACCAAGAGTGGGCGGGGTCTAGGATCAGGGTAGAGAGAAGAATGAAGAGGGTCATCGGGGAGAGAGTGGACACCAGAAGCAACGTGTGCTAATAAATGCTTCAAATGAAAGAAATACGAGTTTATAGAACTGTTGTGCCTTTTTATGTCAACCCCCCCCCCCGCCCCCTCGCTAGAGATTAGGAAAGATAACATAGCAAATTGATTTGGAGCAAACAAATTATTTGCTCTGTTGTGCTAAGATCGTTAACAAATTGTTGCCATAAATGTCGATTATTTACATTATGAAATTGGAAAAAACTTAAATTAATTATTTAGCCCAAAAAACGTGTTTTTTTGTGTGTGCTTTTCACAGTGCACTTGGTGTATGAGGGCACAAATTGAGAGAAGCATGTTGGTTGAGGAGAGAAATAAAAGAAATGGAAAAACATCAGCAGTGACAACTTCTGATACACTATTTGAGAGGAGACAGAGAGAAGCGAGAGAACAAACATCAATAATAAGAAAAACAACACTTGCTAATATGTGGTTTCCAACAAGGCAGGTAGACGAGCAGAAGACAACATCCACAAAGCAGTTTGGTATTGAGAAGAGATCGTGGTGAGCATCGAGAAAAAATCGTCAGTTGCAAAAGCTGACTGAACCCGACTTAACATCAACACAATATATACACGAAAAATGTGATTTAAAATAAAGCATGTGCCTATGCACAAACAGCACATTTGGCTTCAAACTATCCTCAAGTGACCTCTTTTCCCGACTCGTATTGACTCTGAAGAAATATTTCTCATGTTGGACATGGGCTCAGAGAGCCGACTCAACGATTGTGTGTTGTTTGTCTCACTGAAACCGGTCGCCATCACTTCAGTGTGCAGGCATCCGGTAACCAAGGAGGTCCCGGCGGCCCCCGGGCCGCTCCAGCCTTTTCAGCAGGGGCCAAGTGGGCAACTCTCCATGGGATGTTTCATCACTACGTGATCTGCACAATAGCCAAGCAACACTTTTTTTTAAAAAAAGTGGACACTGAAAACTCCAGGAGTTCAATTTTAAGTCATGTGAGACTTTAAATCTTGATATATATACATATATATGTGTGTGTGTGTGTGTGTGTGTGTGTGTGTGTGTGTGTGTGTGTGTGTGTGTGTAATAAATCAATTTGTCAATTTGCAGAATTAGCGTGTTGACCTCACAGTGCAACCGGGTTCGATTCCAGCTCTGGCCTTCCTGTGTGGAGTTTGCACGTTCTGTCCGTGTCTGCGTGGGTTTTCTCTGGGTACTCCGGTTTCCTCCCACATTCTAAAAACGTCCATGGCAGGCTGATTGAACACTCCAAATTGTCCCACAGTCTGAAAGTGAGCGCGGATGGTTGCTCATCTCTGTGTGCCCTGCGATTGGCTGGTAACCGGTTCAGGGTGTCCCCCGCCTACTGGCCGAAGACGGTTGGGATAGGCTCCAGCACACCCCGAGACCCTTGTGAGGATAAAGCGGTTAAGAAAATGGATGGATGGATAGTACACATGGTGCAAAGTGGACATCAGAACTTCAGGTCAGCTGAGCATCCTCCCTTGTGTTTACATCAAGGTGAATGACTTCGCCGCTCATCAACATCTGGTTTAGCATTTGAGAACTGGAAAATAAAGTAAAAAAATAAATAAATGAATAAAACACTTGTTGACCTCATTTAAATGGTCTTGACTACAGTCTGTCAGACGCGGCAGATTTGTATACAGATGACACCAATTATCCAAGTATGTATTGTGTCTCAGCATTTTCCATCCAATCCACACAGCACATTCTCTGCAGAGCGAATATAATTCTTACTCAGCTTTGGCTGGGGGGTTCTGCAAACACTGACACCGAGCTCATAAAAGTCGAATGGACTAAAACAGGGTTGGGGGTGTACTGCACGGGCCTGCGCGGCCTCCAGGTCGCACAGGAAGTCACATCTCGGATCTTACGGAGTTCTGTATCGCATCCCCGTACTTCAGCCGGGGTGTTAAATTGGGAGAACAAACACATTTCAGCAGTACTTCATGCATAACAACACCGCAAACCATATTTGCAGTGTGCCCCTTCTCTGTTTGTACTTCGTACCGGTGCACTCAAAGAGAGAGAAGCCTTTTTTTTTTGTTTTTTGGGAGGGGTCACATTTGAACGAGTCATCACAAAAACAAAAGAGCAAGTATGCGCGTCCTCGTGAGGCCAACGCACAAGTGGGTCACCCCGACTCAGTCACCACACAGGATGCATCATGAGTGGAGTGAGCAATGGTTTCCACTGTAAAAAAAAAAAAAAAATTAAAAATGCAGCGGGCCGGCAGCCATGAACTGGAGACGGAAAGCACTGATTCTTTGATGCCATGAGGGGACCTGGTACAAAATTTGCCTGGTCTCGCTTTTTTTTTTCCAACTCATGTCTGAGTTGTATGACCCGATGGACTGGCTCTTTTCCTTCAAATGACCCCATAAAATAAATTGGCATTTAGAAACTGCATTTTGTATATGCTTGGGTAGTCCCTGTGTGATATTAAAAAAAAAATGGTTTGTTGAACTGAAACCTTTGTAAATGCTAAATATGCAAATTACACAGAAATCAGGAAGGGGGCAAATACTATTTCACACCACTGAGGCAGCATTAGAAAGGACAGCAGCACCAGTGCTTTGTATAATGCTGCTATCTAGTGGTTTAATGCAGTACCAACTGAAATGATGTCAGGAACAACTGAGGAAACTTGACACGTTTTTTTGTTTTTTTTTTGCTTACTTTGTACTGCTGTTATTTTAGGGTTGAGTGCAACTTAAAACAACTAAAAGAAGAATCAAGCATACCATTAAAAAATCTGTTCAGGAATGCAAGAACTACAGCTAATGTGTATATTAATCAGATTTATATTTTATTGTATTATTATTATTATAGGGGCGCCATGACTCAGTGGTAGAGCGGTTGTCTCCCAACCCAGAGGTTGGGGGTTCAATCCAATCCATTGCGACCTTGTTGAAATGTTCTTGAGCAAGATACTTTCGCTCATCTGTAGGTAAATGAGGTAACATTTTAACAGTTCTGAGATTCTGGGTTTGAATCTTGACCCTCATGCATGTTTGGTTGATCACCAATGTGCCATGCAATTGGCTGGCAAGCGGTCAGGCATACCATGCCATCACTCCCAAAGTCAGCTGGGATCGGCTCTAGCTCACACTTGACCCTGAATATTTTTGGTCGATGTTGACATCACAAATGCAGCTAAATCCACTGCTCGTCATTTTTTTTGAATTTTTCAGACTTGAGAGGGGATGGCACACACACACACACACACACACACACACACACACACACACATATACACACACA